AAAGAAAAAAAACAGAGAGGCCTAAGAATTATGTTCCTTACATTTAGAAAAAAAAATTTGAAAAAAACAAAAAATGGCAACAGAATGAATTAAAAAAAAAATAAGTAAGCCTACGTCTTCCTTTAAAAAAGTGCCTCATTCCCCACAAAATGAAACAGTGGTTCAGGGATGTGTGTAATCTTATTTGCCAGTCAGGTTTGACTTACTTGTTGCTTATGTCAAACATATTTTTAAACACATCAAGACACCACACTTTGACAGTGACTCTGGCACACTTTACGCTTGTTCAGTTGAACAATGGACAGCTCTTCAATCTAGTTTCATGTAAAACGATCTCAATTTGTGCTAGATTTATTAGTTGTCTTTCAATTTAGCAAAATAGAGTAAAACAAGTCAATTTGTGAGTTATTTGTATTCTGAAGCCGGCTTTGTATGGACTGAGTTATCTTTTCCTGTTAATAGCTATCAGATTTAAGAGTCAATAAAGGTAGTTTAACGTCATTTCGGCCCATTTGCCACTTTGCCACGTGGTCTCATGAACAAAATAATAAAACTTGCGAATCCTTTCATCATTTGCGATTGCAAACATGTTTAGTTGTTCAAACTACCTCTTCGTGTGGTAAAAACTGTCTAAATGTCGTCTTAGAGTCGTATCAAGACAAATTTATTTACCATGGACGAAATGACATTGGGGCGGTTTGGCCTATTATAAATTGCATTGTATGACAATCGAGACTTGATCATGTTCTAGGCTTTGATAGTGTGACAATCAAGACTAGTGTCTACTTTCGATTGCCAACAAACATGGCGGACACAGTCTTGAAATTCGTTGTTTACATTCATTAAATTGTGAAAATAAGCAAATTAAAGGCTATTCTTTATAATCTTTTGTGTTGATTCTTGAGGGGGTACTTTGAGGTGTGTCTCTATTGCTTCAGTATGAGATGCCAGTGCATTGGGAGGTGTTAACAAGACTAAATGAGAGGAAGTTCTCACCACTCTAGTACTACCTACAGTCCAACCCGCTGCAGAGATGTGATGTCAAAACCAACGGCAGTCAACCCCTCTTATCCTATGCTGTTCCCGTGCTGCTGTTTCTCCAC